ATAGAAGCAGCTGTATCAGAGGGATGGATGTAGAGGGGTTAATCTGGCATCCTGGGGCAGTGCATTGATCCACACAAATACAGCTTTGCATGTATGGACACTTGTGTTGCACACATCTTGCAGCAGCACTGTGAAGTTTGGAAGCTGGAGCCTGCATGGTGCCTGCAGGACTGGCCAGGTTTGGCACTGGAGCTTCCCTGGGACATGAGGGATTTCATGGGACACAAGCTGTGGCTCCTTTTCTTCTAATGGCTGGTGTGGTGTTCTGAGGTTCAGGAGATGTTCTCCAGCACAGCAGTGATGTTTGTCCAGCCTGGAAGGGTAGCCAGGGTCTGGTTTGCTTTTGTTACTAGATCAACTGAGGCTGCAGAGTGGGGGAAGGAAGAGCTTGATTTCTCATGTGTGTGCTCTCAGGTTGAGACTGAGCTTGTCTTGTGGGGAGGCAGAGGGGTTTCTGATGTCTGTTACAGGTCTTTGTGTGTCTGGTCATTAGCTAGAAGCAAATCATAAGATTTTTAAATTGGCTAAAGTTTGCATGGAATAGGTGAGTCAGACACTTCCTCCCTTGCAATGGTCTTCCTGTCTGCAGAGCAGTGCCGGGTGTCGAGGGCTTCACTTGCCACTCTGCTCCAGCAGCTCCAAGTCAACTGGAAACCCTTTCCAAAGGCTGCATTCCTTTGATCAGTGACTAGTGAACTCAGGTATTTAAGGTAAATGTTACAGCTTTCTGGGAACTGTCACCTGAGTGACACATAAATGGTGTGAAATTCTTGTCACAGAGCCAGGTCAGCTGACAGAGGAATGTTTTCCACTTGTGTGGAGATACAAGAGAGGACCTCCCAGTGCTCCTGGATGCTGAGGAATTCAGCCTCTCAGCCTTTCTGAGGTTTTCCTGCCTGCTTTGTAAACTGTGAAAACAAAACACACAGATGAAGAGAATTTCCCGAGATCATGTAGGATGCTGCTGCGCTCGAGATCAGAATCGTCATCTTCCGTGTCCCAGTTTTCACTCTATCTATTAATACACCACGCTATTTTTAGCCCTCTAAGTAGCCACGTTGTTTGTAATTAGCTTCACTAATAACTGCTCTTCCATACGCTGCAGGACCCACCAGCGGAGCAGCACGCTTTTCCGAGCCAAGCTAAATACAAGGGTGGCTAATAAAAGGCATCCGCATTTCCAGTTGGTTGCTGCTGAGCAGACACGTGTCCTTGTAGCTCTTGTGATCAGTCAGCTGCCTAAATGCAGCTCCTGTACTTGGGTTAAGGACAAGGTGTTACTACTCAGGGTTTCCGGGGCGTTCCCTTGCTGACCTTTCAGGAAAGTGAAGAAGCACGCTCTCTCCCTCTCTCTGGCGTGTGCTGAGTCAAGGCTGCTGCTTTCGAAGAGAGATAGCATCTCGCAGTACCTCGAGCTGGAAATTTAATTAATGGCTGCAAACATCTTAGGTGTGACGGCTATATTTACACCCCAAGAGAATTACTAGTTACTGTAGGGATTGGGAGGTGCAGTTGGAGCAGCTGCATGGAGCTGCGTGACCAAACCAGATGCAAATGCACCAGATGACTGCAGAGACGATGCTGAGCTGCAGTTCTCTTGAATTCCACCAGTGACTGCAATTTTGCTCCATTAAAAACACAACTGCTTCACCACTACCAGCACAAAGGTGCTACCTAATCAAACAGACACTTTAGTAGTTAGGAGGAACAGACTGTCTTCACACATTTTCTTTTAAGAATCCACTCTCCAAACTTCCAAGCCCAAAATAAGGAACCAGAAATGTTCTCTAGCATGCAGAACACAAGGAGCTGGATGACTGCAGTGCTGCATCACCTCTCTGCATGCTTGCTGTGTGACTTTTGCACCAGCTTTGTGTACAACAGCAGTTGTAGGGGCAGCCAAATGAGCTTCCCTTTCAGCAAAGGCCCACGTCAGAGGGCTGTTAACTCGAGAGCTGTGACCTCTTGTGAGAGTGCTGCTCGGTCGCCTTCAGATCTGCGAGATCTGTGTGAACGTCACCATGTTTTGCATGCGAGGATTTTTTTCGCTGTCCCTCTTTGATATAAATATATCAAGATGGTTATCTTTAACTGTGCACACACGCATGCAAGCCAAGCTGGTTCGCTGAACACTGGCACAGGACGTGTATGCTTAAACCAGCGGTCTTTATTCAGGCAAAGCCCCTGTAGGTTTTTCCTTGCTCCTGTAAATTCCAGAGCCTTGGTCCAAAGCTGGCAGTGCACATTTGTTTGCCTTTGTATCGTAATACAGATGGGCAATCCTACGTTTATTTACCGATAGAAATGCGCAGAGCTGTGATAGGTTGCTACATAGTTTATTATTGATTTGGTTCTTTTTTATTTCTGCAAAACTGGCTAGGCTAAATGCTATATTAGAACAAAAAAAAAAATTTTTTTTTTTTTTTTTTTACTGAAAATTGAGCTGACAAAATGGTATTTTCATTTGCAGGAATCTCCTAATTTGGGTCTAATATTGTATCACATGTGCTCCAAAGCACTGACAGGACTAGATTACATCTGTGGCCAGTTCAGTTCCTACTCAGCACTTCATTTGCATCTTGGCAAGAAGATACGACACTTTTTCCCCCTCTTCACTGTATTTTGTAATTTTGTATGAAATGCATGTTTAGACATTTTAAAGGCAATTTTGGTCATATAGCATAACTGAAACAAAAAATTCCAAACCAAGCCCCAAACCCAGAATTATAAAACTCTAGTAAGAAGGTCTCAGAGGAGAACCTAGAAAATTAGGAGGATTTCTCAGAGTTTCCTTCCCAAAAGTGCTTACTGGGTCCAGTTCTTGTGTTCTTCAGATAAATTCAAATGGGAAGAAGTGGACAGAAAGACCTGGGATGGGAAAGGCTGGAACAGCAGGTTGCTTGTTCAGCCCAGTACAGGTGTATCAGGGAGGAGATGGATGACCTGCTGAGACCAGAAGGAGGCTGATGCTTCAGGAGCAAATGGAACTCACCTGTTAGGGTGGTAATTAGGCTGAACATAAAAAGAAAGTTTTTAATTTTGGGGGAAGCTTTTTAATAAGAGTGTTAGTATTAAGGGGTTTGGTTTGTTTCTGGGAAGGATTATATGTTTGCCTGAGAAAGATGCTTATGGATTTCATGCTCCAGGGAGGCCCTTCTCAATCCTATCATTTAAAAAAAAAAAAAAAAAAAGGAAGAAAAATGTGTATATGAAAATAAATTAGAGATTTCAGGAGAGATTAAGTTGGCCTGGTTTTATTTCTAAATGGCTGTCCCCATGCAGAGCCTGTGCTTTAATGAAGGAATCAATTTTATTATGTCAGTTTTAGCAGGTCCAGAGGAGGCCATGGAGGTGATCAGAGGATTATCTCACCTGTGAGGAAAAGCTGAGAGAGCTGGGGTTGTTCAGCCTGGAGAAGGCTCTGGGGAGACCTTAGAACACCTAAAGGGGATACAAGAGGTCTGAAGAGGCACTTTTGACAAGGACATGGAGTGATAGGAGAAAGGGGAGTGGCTTCATACCAAAAGAGGTTCGGTTTAGTTTGAACATGAGAAAGAAATACTTTATGATGAGGGTGTTGAGATGCTGTAACAGTTTGCCCATGGAAGTTGTAGATGCCCCGTGCCTGGAAGTGTTCAAGACCAGGTTGGACGAGGCTTTAAGCAGCCTGGTCTACTGTGCCTGGAAATTGTCCCTGCCCGTGGCAGTTGATTTGGACAAGATATCCTTAAGGTTAACTTCCAACCCAAACCATTCTATGATTCTATGAAATGCTAGCCATGACAAGAGCTCTTATTTTCCAGTCCCTTCCAGGTAGGAGGAGACAAAGGTGGCCATCTCAGGCTTCACTTGTGGGTATGGAGGTCTTGGGGTTTGGTGGGTCTGTGTTGGTCCCCACAGCCATGTCCTTGTGCCTCTCCCCACTTGCAGGCAGGTGGACAGAAGCATTGTGCCCACCCTGGGATCCCCTTGCCCACAAAGCCTCATAGCTGGGCTGCAAGAACAGCAAATGGGCTCCTCTGTTCTGGCTGGAGCCTGCATGGCAGCCTGTGTGAAATGCTTTAGCAGCTCTGAGTTATCAGCACAGGGTGATTCATACACGGGGTTTTCTCTCACTTTCTGGCATGTGAAGTTGGGGAGGTGTTTGGAGTTTTCTCCCCTCACAGTTCCCTCTCCCCAGCTCCCCTCTGAAGTCTCTGTGAGACACCCACACCCCCTTGGGAGACCCTTGGGGTATTTCCTCCACCTCCCCAGCAGCAATTTTTCTGTGAGAAAATTCTCTAAGTCTTGACCTCAGCTGCTGTGGCTCACCAGAGTCTACAAGGCACAGGCAGGCAGCGAGCACAAAGGTCGCGTATGGCTGGGTGCAAATGAGCCTGTACGGTCATTCAGGGTTGCTTTCATCAAACAGACTTGAAAGAAGTCTTTATCTTTTTCTGTCATTATTTTCTCCACTAAATTATTTGCAATTTAATTGTTATGCTTTAGTCAACAGGGGGAGGTGAGGAAGCATCCCCCATGTTCTGGATTGTTTTGCACACAATTGGTGGCTGGGCTGGGTTTTCCTTGATGTTGGGGATGTTAAAGACAGTGACCTCAAGCAACTCTTCCTGAGCACTGTGTCCTCACTTGGACAATCACTCACTGCCAAGCAAGGAAGTGTTGAGCACAAACCCCCAGACTGACACGTCTGTACGTTGGAGTCCCAGTCCCAAAAGCTGTGTCATGTACAGCCCCTGCCACTGGTGTTGGCTGAAGCATCCACCAGCAGGAAGGGTCACATCATGGTTGATTTAGTGGTTCTTCACTCATTCTCCATATGGATCCTGATATTTGCCTTGGAGCTCCTGGTGTGCATGTTTCATCCAATGACTCCCAAACCACCTTTTCCTCTGCCACTTTGGGTGCTGTCTTGCTGACCAGACACCATCCTCTACATTTTATTTCTTTAATAATATGTTCTGATAGTTTTTTTTTCTTCCTTCTTGTTTTCTTCACAGATTTATCTGGAAAATGTGACTGACAGGAGCAGCTTACTCACCATTAGATAAGTATTGGAGATGACTCATGCTGGAGTATTGGTAGCTGTGCTGCTGAGATGGATATCCTGTTGTATAACTGCTATAGTGTGATGCCAAGAACCAGGAACCTTAATTTCACTATCCAGGCTTTTCTGTGAAAGTGCTTTGGGTCTTTGGCACCTTTTCTCCTTGGTTTGTCCATCTAAAGGGCTCACAAGGGGAGGTTTTGCTTCCCCCAGTGGGGTACAGGGTATGGGGCAGCTCATGTTACCTTGAAATGAAAGCTAATTGAAAGGCTGTAGCTTTATTGCTGTTCTTCAGGACGTGCAATATTTGTCTTTTTCATAGATGTCATTAGCATCTTTCTTCGATTCTTTGGTTTTTTTTGTTTTGTTTGTGTTTTTTCAGAGCCATTAAACCCTTTCTTCAGTGGAACAAACCAGAAGGTCCAGAAACAGGTAAGGCAACTGCTCTTCCAGCATGTTACTTTTGAATCATTTAAAGCAAAATACTGGCTGCAGTAAAGTGCAAAAAAAACCCCATATTGGCTCAATGGCGAGTGAGAGTTGTACCCAATATACTCAGCTCCATGAGAGGCCCTGGAATTACTACATTCAAGAACAAATTTGCAGGCTACCTGAGACTCTGTGTCTGAACCTCCCTCTGCTTCCAAAACCACTGGCCTCAAGGCTGTGTGAGCAACAGGTGGTGAGATTTAAGAAGTGATGACGAGCAAGAGAAAGGAACCTGCCCGTGGGGGAGATGCAAAAGGAACTGAGCTGTGAAGGTGGGGGGTATGTACAGGATGGCAGGAGCTGCTGGGGAGGTGTTAAACCATTTGGGGAGGCAGGGGACTGAGGTGGCTTTAGCTTGGACGGGTGCAAAGCACCATACAGCAATGAGGGAAATTTGGAGTTAAAAGGAGAAATTTTTCAAGGGAGCGTTGCAGCGATGGCCATGCTGCTAGTGATGGCAGCATGTGTGGCTCTGCCTGATGTTTCTACCTGTGTGTGGGTGGTGTCACTGGGGATGGCTGGGACCCCACCTGTTGCACACTCTTGGGCATCACCTGTGGTTCCCACCATCCTTAAACTGCTGAGGATGTTTGGTTTCCATCAAGGTGCCGGGCCATGACTGAGGAGCTGTGGCTAGAGCAGTGCATCCCTGTCACCATCAGTAGCCTGGGGCAGAACCTTCCAGTGGGGCAGTGGAGGTGTGTCAGGTGCTGCACATGCTTTCTCAGCAAACAAGAGCTAGAGCCCAGGAGGAAAAAATCTGCATTGAGGATCTGTGCTGTGTCCCAACAGCATGATTTGGGTCTCAGCATTTACTGTGTGGGTGTTGAGACACTAGGGCAGGTTACCCAGAGAAACTGTGAATGCCCCATCCCTGGAAATGTTCAAGGTTTGGCTGGATAGAGCTCTAAGCAGCCTGATTTAGTGAGAGATGTCCCATATGTGGTATGTGCCCATAGCAGCAGGGTTGGACTAGATGATCCTTGGAGGTCCTTTACAACCCAAACCATTATGTGGTTCTATGATTTTGATACTTTACTACATTCGTTGCAGCTTCTGTTCTTCAGACTGTTATGGCACTTTGGAGTAAAGAAGTGGGTCCTGCTCATATGTAAAATAAAAAATATATATTGCATCTGGCTTGAGCAGAAAACCCTGCACGATGGTTTGTAACATAGTCTCAGTTAGGTCCCTGCCTCATAGAGTAGAAAATGCCTTTAAGGCCTCCTGCATTTAGGCTCTGCATCAGAGATATTCACATGCTGAAACTACCTCAGGACTAAATTTTTTTGAGTGATAATCTGATGTTGCTCTTGGTAGAAAGGGTGGGAGTTTGGCTTTTGGGGATCTTGTAGAATCAGTCAGTGAATGCAAGGGTCAGGGCATCAGGAATTTTACCAGCGTGTTCTTCCATTTTTGGCATATCCTCCTGCATTGACATGCCTAAAAAAGCCCCAAAACTCTGACAACTGCTCTTAACCATCACTTCATGGAAATATTTTTGGGGTAGAGAAATGAGAACACTTGCCCCTGCCCCATTCACCTTGCATCACTGGGGTCAGGATGGCAGCTCAGAGGCAGGATCTGTGCTTCCCCGTGGGTGGTCTCAGCTCTGCATATTCAAATCGAGCACCCAGGCATGTCACCTCCGTGCAGCACGGGCTGAGAGAGGCACAGGGGCTTTCCAGCCCTGTGGGCCATTATTAGTAAGAGGGTTTGTGTGTGGTGTGTCTCCTGGTTCAAGCTGTGAACTGCCACCCGGCTCTAAAAACTGCTGTTTAGCCTTGGTCATACTATTGCAAAAAGTTTCCGAGAAGCATAATAACTTCCCTAAATATATATATATTTTATGTCTAAAGATGCTTGGGCATTTGTTAGTGCTGAAAATTTGCTGACCCCAGTAGGGGGGATTTGTACTCCTGCCATCATTTGGGAAGCTCAGGCAGGTAGTGGATAAGGAAGTGGTTGTTGGGGTTTTGCTTCTATCTCTGTAAGTTTGGGATGGTGGATTTGGGGGCATGTTTGAGGTTTTGGTGAGTAGGTAGAACAATTAATAGCAATGTGAATGGCCTGTATGGTAACTTCAGGATTGTGCCAGCTGAGCAACTAGATCAGGTATTACAGATCCCAGGGCACCTGAAGTCCAAATAGGTTTTTAAATTACACAGGTCATTTCAAAAGAGATAATTAAGTTTCTGAGTTCCTCAGTAGTGCCTACAAATGTTCCTGCAAATGGCTCATGAAGCACTTGCAGTCTATAACTTCTGCCAGAGGAAAATGGGCTATTAGGTGGAAATTAGCTGCCCATGTGGTATTTTCTGTCTTGGAGTCTCAGGGAGTTTTACTGGGATGTGTTAATACAGCTGTGCTGAAGGTACTACTCATCTGCACGCTCTGATAACCATCCTGATGTGAAGTGAATCCCTGTGGAGCTGTTAGAGACCTTGCTGCTCTTAGTTCCCAACCTACCTGGTTGCCAAAAGCTGCTACCCACAGAGGCAGGGCTAAGGATGAGTTAATGTGCATCTGCACCTTATCTATCCCTTGCTCTGTATGAGCATAAACCCATCTTTGCTTGCTGGGAGAACTGGAGCACCAAGTGGGAAGCTGAAATGTGGTATGTCTATTCTGCCTCCCCTTACTGGGGCAGAGGAGGATAAAAGGCTGGAAGTGCACTGAGGTGGAGGCAGTGACATGTCAGGTGATGAAGTTAGGCTTTGAGAGCAGTTTCATCCTCTGGAAGTGTCTGCTTTTTTACATTTGACTTGTTGGCAAGGTGGGAGTCATCTTACGGTACCCCCCCATGTAGGTCAGGAGTGCAGCTTTTGGTTAATGCTGCAGCCAGGGGAGATCTAGTCAACACTGTCTGTAGGATTTAAGGTGTGATGGACCCCTGATGTATGGGACAAATCACACCTTCATCTTCCTTGGCTATGTGGCAGATTCTTCATCACCTGCAAAAACACGCTGTGCTGACTTGTTTGGATGCAGATGCCAAGGCTGCAAACACCTTTCTTTGATGAGATGTGGCGTGCCTCAGCCAGCTCACTCTGACTAGATACGATACTTCTGATGGCTCTGGGGTGGGTGAGATGAATCCTACACCTGCTATAGCAAAGCTCATTCCCAGGCTGTGGTGGGCTGTCTGGGGAGAGAGGGGGGTGTTAAAGCAGGTTTAGTGGGCCCTTCTTGCAGTGGCTCTGACTTTGCATCCTCTGAAGAAGATGGTGGTCAGGTCAAGGCCAGCTTGGAGAAGGGAAAACTCTTATAGGTAATTTGCAATTTGGCAGTGGCTGAGTCACCCACAGTCTGTGCACCCACTGCATCTGTGACCTGTCAATGTGATGTGGAGGCAAAGTATGACTTGAGGGCATGGCACAAGAACAGTTTGGGATTTTTTCAGGAATAGTGTTGTTTGAGGCAGTATGGGGACAGTAAATACTGTCCTTTTCCTCAAAGATTTAATTAGTTTTGTGGCAAAGGTTGCTTTCTGTCTTGGCTCAAGGATTTCATAATTTTAATACTTGCCTTCTGGAGGTCCACAGGCCATGTGAGCATGGGGAGCACAGGCTGATGGGCACTTGGTGAGCATTCTCATGCTGGTGCACAGGGATGGTTGTGCCATTGAGCTCTGGCCATGTCTCTTTCCAGGTCCCAGCACCTTCTCCCTTCTAGATGATCCCTGGTGCAGGTGTATGGGGCTGGCTGTGCCATCTGCACTGGTTACGGTGGCAGCAGATTTCCCCTTTGCAAGGGGGTTCTCCATGGCTGCTGCAGAGCTTGAGCAGGGAGCTGCTACAGCTGACCCTGCTGCTGGAGCACATCTATAGATGTACTATGAACAGGGAGGAGGGGAAGCACCTGGAGACACATCTGCACTGGACCATGTCACACAGCTGTCCTAAGTGGGCAGCAAGCCCAGTCAGTAGGTCTGCACAGTGCCAGTGTCCTGCCCATATAGCCTCACAAGCCTGCCTGCCTGTCCCAGGCAATGTCAGCCTGTGCAAGAGACTGGTGCTTGTTTGGCTGTGTCTTAAAGCCTTGATTGCTGCCAGATCACTACCCCGAGCCTCCCCCAGCTTCATTTTTTTCTTTGCATTTGGAACTGCAGCCTGAAAACTCCAGCTAAACCCTGTGCCCCAACGGCTGCTCATCTCAGAGTGAGGAGCCAGCTCGCAGCAGCTGCTAAAATAGCAGATCTGAAGTGGGGAATGAAAAGTGAGATGGTGATTAAGACCCAATTTCCTGTCGTGGCCCCACAGTGTTCCTGCCGGCAGTGGAGACATTGGCAGCGGTGGTGTGAAATGTCTCAGCCTTCTGCCTTGGGCTGCCTGAGCACCTGAGCTGCCCTGTGCTGCTCGCTGGTCTTGGTGCTTTGTAGCTGTTGGTTTGGCTGAGCTCAAGGGAAAATGAGGATTCTTTTTAGGAAGGGGGGAAGGGTAAGGAGTCCGTGCAGTCTGGTCCTGGCTGAGCTGGAGAGCAGCTGTGGTGAGACCCAGGCCAGCCCTGAAGCAGGCTGATGTTAGTTGGTGTGTGTTACCTGGAAGAGTACACAGGCTTTGGAAACACTGGTAATACTGGTCCTCTGGACTTTTTCTCCTATCTCTGCCAGTATTTTTACTTGGACCCACTTTTTGGGACTGAGAGAGGAAGATGCAAGAAAGAGAGATGGCTGCTAAAGGGATGGTGAAGATTCCTAGCTGGATGCTGTTTGTTCCAAGAGCACATGGGTTGTTCCCCTGTCCTACTGTTTGGTCCCTCACGTACCTTAATGTTGTAAAAAAGCAAATGCATTAGAATTAGAATTAGAATCTTTCTGGACTTCTTGCATCAAAAGGTCATTCAAGAGAAAATGTGAAAAACTGAGTACAATGATGCTGAGCTGATGGCTCTTCCTCTAAGGACACTCTTCCACTTGTACTTACTAACATGCTCTATGTGTA